CGTTCTCTTTCAGCATTTCTTAAGTCTGTTGAATTCCTTGACACTCATCCACGTCTTGCAGGCCTTCCCCTACCCTGTCTAGTTACTTCACTCATTATAAAAAAGGAAAACAAAACTATTAAACAAATAAAATTCATTTTGAAACATTATTTACCAATGTTGACTTTCAGAATAAATGTAAACATTGTAAATAAATAAGTAACAGCTGATAGAATGCAAACGTTTTTCAGCCCCCATGCATTTCTTATGGTGGATATTTTACGTTATATCTCGTTTTCTGGTTATTTTATGGGAATTCTGATATTTTTCCCGAGTCCCTGGGGTCAAGACCTTTAATTTAAGACCTCTCCCACTGTTCTACGACTTACCAGACGTCCACAATTTTCTGGTAAAAGTTTTGTCTTACAGAATTATATATATAGATTCGTGTGACTAGAAATCGCAAAATTTAGAATTTCAGGATTGTAAGCATATGTAGTTTTTTTAGTACAGTAACTGGCGTATTATTTTATTTTCAGTAATTTTTATGATATGTATACCTGATTAAAACATAGTAAAAATACGGAAAAATTAAGTTGGCATAGAGAGGTACCATGCGTATGTGCAATTGGACGCATTGAATAAAAAAATATGTTCATAGTTTGATAGATCATGTGAAAGAGAATTAATATACCCAGCATAAAATGAACAATTGGTAAAAATAAAATAAAATAAAATACTTAAATTGGTATTTGAAATATATTTACAAATTCAAAACGGCCCCTTACCATATCTGACTTAGATACCCGCTCTGATTTCTATTCTGTAAATATTTGAAAAACCAACGAAATCAAATACATTATTGAACATCGATAAACAAATCGCAATAAATTTTAGCTGTCGTTGGAGCTGACATGTACAGGGTGGGAAAAAGTTTCGGGACAGTGAAATATTTTAAAGAATAAAAGATAGCGCTGCAAAACTTGGTACAAAGTTACAGGACATTAACATAATTTAAACTAATTATTCAGTGATAAGTTACCTACTCAGGGGGACGGCCCGATAGGAGTCAGAAGAAAATCTCAACTGTAAGCATAGGTTTATATGCACATCGAATTAAAGGTCACACATATTCGATGCATCGCCTTGCGTTCCTCTGTAGTTATTTGTATTTGAGTGAAGAGCATATCAACCCGCCACACGGAAGTGTATACGCAATACGTATGATGATGCCAACAAGTCTTTATACACAAAACAAGCGAAGAAAACAATACAAAATCCATTTACACTGTCAACGATGAAAAAACCGACATCATCAAACAACGAATCAATACTACCGAATAATTATATCGAACGGCCGCGAACAATTTTCCAGTCGTGGTAGTGAGGAGTTAACAGTTAAGCTAGTTGGGGGAACAGTTAACCACTGTTTGTTACCAAACAGTTATGTTACTGACGCCTTTTGTCACGGAGGACAATGCAGCAACTGTACCACAGACGAGAACAGCGACAAGTAGCAGAGAACTTGACACTAGCGTGACGTGGTCACGTGATCGTGATCTAGATACGTAACGGTGTCAACACTACTGGCCGAACATTGTTACCAAGGAAATGTACAGAGTGAATCCCAAATCTGGGAACAGGTTTTACATTTGAACGGTTAATCAAACCCTCGTAAATATTTTAAATCGAACAAGAGTGGAATTAGGTCGTGCATTAATTGCGCCAAAGAGTTCATTAAGTGCGCCAAGCCTTCAAAGGTTCCCAAAAATGTTCCTTGGTTGCGTCAATCCCAAGCCAGGTAGGGGTGAGTTGGTAGAAGGAATGTCCTTGTTTACGTGTCATCCTAACATATCCTATCCTAACCTAACTTAAATTTAACATAACCTCTCAAGTATACAGTCAAGGAGGGCCGCCACTTGGTGCAGTTAATAGAATAGGGTGGCTCCGTGGACTAGTTGGCGCAATTCAGGAATACCCGACTAGGTCTACCTGACTCGGGTCAGTTGGTACAATTAATAATGCCCGCCCTGAACTTCTGGGGTTAATAAAAACTCCCCAGAAATTAGTGTTGATTGAAATATTTAGGCTATGTCAGTTCTGGATCCAAAATAACTCTTAAGTCGATGTGATTATGAACTGGATTAATTTAAAACTATAAATTAGGAATTTATTATTTTTTTATGAAATATAATACGAAATTATAAGTTTCTAGGCCTTGAAGGCTGGGATATCTGAAGCAGCTTACCTATCAATATTACAACAACTACTTAAGTTGTTACGTTAATTTTTTGTTAACAAAAAATTTACGAAACGATTTATATACTTTTTATCTCTGTTTTAAAAGTTTAAATCAAAACGATCTTGAATAACATTAGACGCAGCTGCGAAAGACTCTAATTTTACCGTTCATTTAACCGTGCGTACGCAAACATGTTTACGGTACCTACAACTGCAAAACGCGTGTATGTTCTTTGTATATATTTCCGTGTGTTCGTGTGTGTATATATAAACTGTAAATAGTCGACAAACATCGTTTGATGTGATTTTTTTAATTCAAGAATGCTGCTGAAGATGAGCTGTAAGTAGCTCGAAACATGTACAGCATATGTTAACATCTGACACCTTCAGGCAAAAGTAAGTAAATCTTACCTATAGTAAAAAATATTAAAGGTGTCAAGGCTGATATAAAATTAATCTAATTTTACGGTTCCTCGCAATTTCAACCAATTTACGAATTTTATTTGTTATCAGATGCAGTAATTTTTACATTGTCAACAACGGAATTTCAAGTGCAGAGTTATCAGTTCGTTATCTTACTAACCCAAACCGGAAGCACTTACAACAGCAGTATTAGCGTTGTGTGCGTCATCCGGTTCCGTTGTTTCCTATTACAATGGCTCTTAGTTTTCTCAAAGCGTTTTATTGTTTAGATCACCATTATATGGACCACCTTCTAGCTTCGGGAGGGCCTCCTATTGCTGAAGACTAGTATGAAAATCAAATACTAATCACAGAGCAGTGTTATAAATTATATTTTTTCTCTGTTTACTAATCTACAGTGACGCTTTTGTAGTCTACATACAATCTTACAGAAAATACAGGAAAACCCAAGAATTAGAGAACGATTTTTTCAAGCGTTTATACATAAAACTGTTACATATTTATTTTTACACTTTACCAAACTAACGCTGAATTTCAACCACTACAGAGATTGTACTACACATTTCGCCTACTTGTGTACTCTTCCATCACTGACTAAATTAGAATCTGCCTTGACCGCAGATTAAGTGAAAGCGAAAGCAGTCATCTTCAACTTTCATACACATCTTCAAGATAAAAGGAAATTCTACAATGCATTCTTGGTATAATTAACACTGCTTGTATTTTTTTTTAATTCTTTATACATGGAGTGAATTATTTGCGTAAAATAAATTAATGTTTCGTAGGTAGGCATCCATTTCAAAACAACAATGTGAACTTATAAGTTTGTTACAAACACTTTATTAGCGGAACAAATATAATGTAAAACTTCTTGTAAATACAGAGAAAAAGTAGTAAACATAACGGACTATGTTTTATCTATGACATAACTCAATAATAAGGGCTGACTAGTTTTAAATGCTAAATATATTATTTAAAGTTATTCTCAACAAATTCCACTACTAAATAAAATCGACTCAACGTGATCGGGGAACGTGACATTCTTACCTAAGTGTAAATATACTGTATATTCAAATCAATACTGTTTGATACTCTTTGCCAAAGTTCCATAATTACTTGTTTTCTCTATATTGACATCTGCATTAGTAATTATTTTAATTACCATATGTTCTATTCTTTGTTTTCTTTGTATTATAAACAATCCATTAAAGAGCTCATCATTCTTATTTTTCAAGATTTTAGTTTTATTTTATTCAACGCAACGCATTAAGTTGTCCAACAATTACAGTTCTCCAACAAATAGAGTGCATTTTAGTAATATGTTTTCTGTGATTTTACAAGGTTAATAAGCATAAAAAATACCTAATTATAGTATCTAGAAATTGACAAATTTGGAAAAAATCTTTCCAACCAAATAAACTACCTCCACTCACTACGTCACTTGTCATCGCCAGAGTTGAGTGAAGATGATGACTAATCAGAAAGAGACTTAAACACGACCTTGAAACTGTTACTGATAAGGAGCATGAGTCATAGATAAGACTCTCTGTTATGAATGAATGGAAACCTACATCAGCGGTTTAGGTCGGTTCAGTCGTATAAACCTGGTTATTACTGTCATATTCGATAATGTAGTCAAAAAGTGCAAATAAAGAGTAACATAGTTGCTATTTTGTTATTCTAGGTTCATATTTAGCCGAAGATTAGTTTCAAATGCAGACTGAATTAAAAACACATTTAAAAAATCACAAACGATATTTTTAATACTCTAGGTAAACAGTGAAATAAAAATAGTCCAAATGAAATGTACTTAGCGGCAACCAAACTTGTAAATTAACAAAACTAAACAACTAAAGAAATAAGAGAAAGTTGTTTACCTGTGGTTTTACAGATCCAAACAAAAGAAGACAATTGTCAGCAGAAAGAACAGAAACCTGATAAAAAGAAATAAAAAATAAGAATACAATCAACAAAATCAATACACAAACTAAAAAAAATGAAGGAAAATAAATTGGGCACATTTCGCCAAGGAGGAGGACGCATTAGATAAATTGTAAAATAAATAATTACACTTTTTGATAAAATAATCTTCAATCCTTTTCAGGTAGGAACAAGAATAAGTTTTGCTCCCTTTCTCCATTGCAAGACCCCATAACTTCTCAACTACACATTATACTACAATCGGTTATCAAATTCTTGAGAACTCATAATCAATTTTAAAACTGAAAATTCCAAAAAAAATGTGTGGGATCTAACAAACAATAGACAAAATAAAACCATTGCTTATTCTTGATCAAGTAGTGCAGGCTAGGTTTGGGTTATGTCGTATATACATAGTGAACAGTATATTCACTTACATTCAAGGTCAGAAGATGGAATCCATTGGTAGAAAAGCCAAGACTGCAATTCGGTCAGGGCAACCCTGCCGCAGCTGTACAGACCGGCCAGTTTGTGAGCTGAAACACAAGATCATCAGATTAAACTAGATTGAAAAACAACCTCATCCGATTAAACTAGACAGAAACACAAACTGATGAAACTATGCTGAAATACAAGATAAACAATTAGACTGAAAAACAAGAGAGACCGACCAAACTAAACTGAAGCAAAAGATAAACTGATAAAAATAGGCTGAAATACACGATAAACTGATAACAATAGATCGATACACAAGATAAAGTAATGAAACTAAACTGAAACACGCGATAAACTGATAAAACTAAACTGAAATACAAGATAATGTGATGAAATTATACTGAAACTCAAAATAAACTGTTAAAGAAGACATAGGCACACGCCACAGACCACATAGACCACCTTGACAGCAAGTACTTATGTACTTAAATTTTTTTTTGTAAAAGTATGTATTTCCGTGCCTCGTGCGTGTGTTATTTATTGAATTCTGTTGACGACCTTCAAAGGAAGTGACTACTTGACACTTGTTGTCATGGTGGTCTGAGAGACGAAATAGTTGTCACTACAGCAACCAAGGTATTGTAAACCATTAAAATACATTAAAAAACATTAAAATACCATTAAGAGAGTTATACAACTGGATCTTGTAGATCAGTTGTAAGATTGCAGATTATTTGATGAAACCCAAGACACAGAAAACGTACTACTATAACCCAGAATGCCAACCGCATGGTAAAAAGCATTAAGCGTTTTGAGAGAGCTTTGCCTGTCAATCCGTAGGCAGCGCCACCAGCGTTGCTATGCTATTGCATGGCAACGCTGGTGGCGCTGCCTACGGATTGACAGGCAAAGCTCTCTCTCAAAACGCTTAATGCTTTTTACCATGCGGTTGGCATTCTGGGTTATAGTAGTACGTTTTCTGTGCCCAAGATTATTAGAAAGAGGGGATTAGCTTGTCAGCCTGTAAAACTCGATATAATGTAATTAATCCAAAATAATTAAAAAATATTACACAACATAATTCATTGACATGTATTAATTAAATGACTCAATTAGAGTTTATCTTTTTGACAAAACTGTTTTTTATATATGGATTCTTTCTGAAACATGTCCACCGATGTACAAAAGGCAGATTTGATTTTGTAACGCAAAAGGAAATAATTTCCAGCGCGAGTAACGCGACTGTCAGTGGCGCTACCTTGATATGATTAAATTAGGGCTTCGTGCCTGGGCTCCTATCACTTTTGGAGTTGAAATGTTGGATTATATAGACATTTTGTCATTTCGTTGTAAAAAACTGCCACAGATATTATGTTCAACATATCCCTTTTCTCGAAAAAAATATTCTTTACGTATATACACTTATAGTGACTTTCCTTGTGCATGAACTAATAATACAGGGTGTCCGAACTGAAACATTTTAAATGCAAATACTGATATCAAATTAAATACTATGTTTAATGTTTTATTTATGTATTTAAAGCTAAAATTCTCAAGTTTTATTAGAAACTTGGTACAACTCGATATGAGCACCAGTAGTGGCCCAGCATAAATCTAAGTGAAATTTAATCTCTTCCCAGGTTTTCGTCAGTACTTCTGGGGATATTGGTCGAACACATGGGACTATTCTCTGTCGGAGGTGATCCAGATTCCGAATCTGCACCGAGTAGACGTCATTCCTTACTGCCCCCAAAGGAAAACGTCCAGAGGAGTCATATCATAATTATTTTACTGCCAAATAGATGATTTTATAAAAACCAAAAAGAGACAAACTATTGACTAATCTAACCTAGTCTGACGGTCAAAATTCCTATTTGTTTTCCGACACATATGTTTCAAAGTAACTAAAAAATCATCAAAGTGAATGGTTCTATTAATTTTGTAACAAGTTTATTTTTTATGTATATGTATGGGAAATCCCTAATTCAGTTACTAATTCCATTTGAAAACTTCCCAAAACATTATTTTTTATTAAAGGTTTCTAATGTATTAAGATAACAACTACGGAGATGTTGATTTTTACTCACAAGAAAAAAACATCGTGGAAAAACGTAGCTAATAAATTAACTACTGAAAACAAACAAATCATTAAGCGTCATCATTAGTTGATGTATCCATTTAAAGCTCGTTCTTACTTAAAACGCTAAATATTTCCGAATTTTGTTTGTTTAACATATTTAATTTTAATACACAACCTTAGGACGAATAAAAAACTTAACGCTGAGTATTTAAAATAATAGTATGAAAGACGGGGGCCAAATGTGGAAAACATAAACATAAAGAATCATTATTCCCTTGCACGACCATAAAACGAGATTATTGCGGATTCCTTTGAAGTTTATGTTGAAGGTACAAAGCATGAAGCTGAGGATAATGAAACCAGGTCCTATACATCTCAAAGGGAGCAGACATGACTCACCAGATTGGCCGTTATTGGCGGGGGATTTCTCTATTCTCAACGGTTTTGGCACATTTTCCAATCCAAAACAACTACTTGGGAGCTGGAACTATCCAGCATGGAAAAAATAAAATGTTTTGGAAAGACATTTTAACTACATATTTAAGCTTTTTGTAAAACAAAAACTACTCTGGTAAAGGACATATTTAAATCTCTAAGTTCCTATGGTTTGTATGTTTATCATGATGTTTACAAAAACAAAAAATTAAAATTTTCAATAAATGTAAGCAATGATGGCTGAGACCGTATGAATACGAAAGATTATGTATTGAGGTACATACAATAGAATATTTAAAAAATTCAAAAACTTCTTTTTGACCTAAACTCACTGAACAGAAGTAAACACTGATTTGATTTGTTATAATAAACTAAGTAAGGCGTGTATTTATACTATTAAGTTTATTCAAAATTGGTTACATCTACATCTTGGTTTTTTTTCGTTTTGGAGGTTATAACGCTCTTCACGAACAATTATGTATACTAATGAATACATATTCTTGACTATTGACTATATAAAACGCGACCAGGCCTATTTAAAAATTAGTAATGGTGCATCAGCTAAACTATCGAAACAGTTAAGGGCTTAAGGTAGCATATAGCGTACTGCAATTCCATAATTCAATAATTTTTGCGGAAAATAAATTCAACATTTTAGAAAAAGTTATAAATATTAGTTATACTTAAAATATAAATTTATTAGTACTACATATATTAATAATTTAACAATCGTAGCCTAAACTTTTTGTGTTCAAAAACACTAATTTGCCATAACAAATAAAACGTTAGGTTGAATTCATAGTGGCCACATATTTAACTCTATATATTACAAAAATATTAATACATTTTTGGTTTATCGTAGAAAAAGAAAAATTCAGAAACCAAGACCACAACACACCGTTAAAAAATTAAGGCCAATCTTAACCGTACACGCAAATTGTCAAATTAAAAAAGAGTTGATATAAAGAAGTTTTAATAAAAAAAAAGTTGAGGTGGCCAAACGATAATTAAGTAGTATAATCCCTGTTATGTACACGTGGGCCAGGCGAGGACGTGTTGTGGTAGAGTTGGTCAGATATATCAACTTCAGCACGCTTTGGATCGATAAACTGTCCCTCCGTGCCACAAACCTCCCTGAGATATCATACCGCCACAGCAAGTATGGACTACTAACTCAGTAGGTCAAGTGGTACCACGAATAGTATCAGTTCGATAAACTGTCCCTCCGTGCCACAAACCTCCCTGAGATATCATACCGCCACAGCAAGTATGGACTACTAACTCAGTAGGTCAAGTGGTACCACGAATAGTATCAGTTCGATAAACTGTCCCTCCGTGCCACAAACCTCCCTGAGATATCATACCGCCACAGCAAGTATGGACTACTAACTCAGTAGGTCAAGTGGTACCACGAATAGTATCAGTTCGATAAACTGTCCCTCCGTGCCACAGAACATCCCTGAGATATCATACCGCCACAGCAAGTATGGACTACTAACTCAGTATGTCAAGTGGTACCACGAATAGTATCAGTTCGATAACCTGCCCCTCCGTGCCACAGAACATCCCGGAGATATCATACCGCCACAGCAAGTATGGACTACTAACTCAGTATGTCAAGTGGTACCACGAATAGTATCAGTTCGATAAACTGTCCCTCCGTGCCACAGAACATCCCTGAGATATCATACCGCCACAGCAAGTATGGACTACTAACTCAGTATGTCAAGTGGTACCACGAATAGTATCAGTTCGATAAACTGTCCATCCGTGCCACAGAACATCCCTGAGATATCATACCGCCACAGCAAGTATGGACTACTAACTCAGTAGGTCAAGTGGTACCACGAATAGTATCAGTTCGATAAACTGTCCCTCCGTGCCACAGAACATCCCTGAGATATCATAACGCCACAGCAAGTATGGACTACTAACTCAGTAGGTCAAGTGGTACCACGAATAGTATCAGTTCGATAAACTGTCCCTCCGTGCCACAAACCTCCCTGAGATATCATACCGCCACAGCAAGTATGGACTACTAACTCAGTAGGTCAAGTGGTACCACGAATAGTATCAGTTCGATAAACTGTCCCTCCGTGCCACAGAACATCCCTGAGATATCATACCGCCACAGCAAGTATGGACTACTAACTCAGTATGTCAAGTGGTACCACGAATAGTATCAGTTCGATAACCTGCCCCTCCGTGCCACAGAACATCCCGGAGATATCATACCGCCACAGCAAGTATGGACTACTAACTCAGTATGTCAAGTGGTACTACGAATAGTATCAGTTCGATAAACTGTCCCTCCGTGCCACAGAACATCCCTGAGATATAATACCGCCACAGCAAGTATGGACTACTAACTCAGTAGGTCAAGTGGTACCACGAATAGTATCAGTTCGATAAACTGTCCCTCCGTGCCACAAACCTCCCTGAGATATAATACCGCCACAGCAAGTATGGACTACTAACTCAGTAGGTCAAGTGGTACTACGAATAGTATCAGTTCGATAAACTGTCCCTCCGTGCCACAGAACATCCCTGAGATATAATACCGCCACAGCAAGTATGGACTACTAA